TTGGGGGTCCTTGGGGGATCCCTGTCAAACCCCTAAACATCAGAAGGAACTTCCAGGAAGGTCCATAGACATGGTGAGCAGGACACACATGTGTGGCCACACATGTGTGGCATGTGTGGCCAGGCTCTGGAGCACCAAGGAAGCCCCACAGTGGGAGGTGGGAAATGGTCCCTGCTCCTTCTCTGCTTCCCTCTGGGTGGGTCTCTGGGGTCTCCTGGCTTTGGGGTTTCTCTCCTCTCTGTGCAGAGAAGGATAAGCTCTCACCAAGTGTGTGCCTGAGGTTCCTCTTCTGGGAACCGCTGTGGTCTCCTGCTTTTTCCAGCCTCTGAGTCCCCAGCCCTCCCCCTCACTCACCTCCCCTTCTTTGCTCACACAAGGAGTCCAGAACTCTCTGCCTTAGAGATGCTGTGACTGCTGCGGCCCCTGCAGTGGGTAGACAGACAGCGGGACGTTGGTGGCTGGGCAGAAGTGACAATTGTTTTCCCACAGAGTACCTGGATCTGAGATTCCAACTGGAAGTGCCAGGGTCACTGACAGTGCAGGAGGGTCTGTGTGTCCTTGTACTCTGCAAGTCTTCAATCCAGACTGCTGGAGTGACCTCAATAGTGTCCATGGATACTGATTCCGAGAAGGGGCCAATATATACCAGGACCCTCCAGTGACCACAAACAACCGAATCCAGCTCCTGGGAGACCCCCAGAACAGCAACTGCTCCTTGAGCATCAGAGAGGCCAGGAGGACGGACCAGGGGACATACTTCTTTCGGGTGGAGAAAGGAAAGATAAAAAGGAGTTACCTATATCCCAAGCTTTCTCTGCATGTAACAGGTAAGAAATGGGTTTCAGGAGCGGTCACAGGGGAAGCTCATGGGGTGCAGGGCAGAGCTGTGAGGGGACCCCTGATCTGGGAAGGGGTTGGGAGGAAAGGGCTGAAGATGCCCCTCGGACACTCCCTCCTGGTCCTGTGTGCCGTCCTCTCCTCACCAGCCCTGATGTACGTGCCCAGCATCCTCAAACCGGGGATCTTGGAGTCCGGCCACCCCAGGAACCTGACTTGCTCTGTACCCTGGGCCTGTGAGCAGGGAACGCCCCCTATGATCTCCTGGACAGGGGCCTCGGTATCAACACTGCCCACTACCAGTGCTCGCTCCTCAGTGCTTACCCTCATCCCAAAGCCCCAGGACCATAGCATCATCCTCATCTGTCAAGTGACCTTGCCTGGGGTCGGTGTGACCACATCGAAGACCATCCATCTCAACGTGTCCTGTGAGAGCTGGGCCAGGATATCCGGGTCCCTTATGGGGGATCCCTGAGGGCAGCAGGAGGGAAGTCGGGGCTGGATACGGGGTACTGGATCTTAGAATCTGGGATGAGAGAGGGGGCTGGGGATATGCCGACTTCACCTTCCCTTTATTTCTCCCAGGAGAGAGGGCCACTGTCCACCACCCTCAGAGTGACGTGAATCTGCCATGTCTTTCTGTTCAGATGCCCCTCAGAACTTGACTATGACTGTCTTCCAAGAAAAAGGCACAGGTAGGATGGAGCACCCTCCCTGCGTTGTAGACCTGGGCATTCAGCTCAGGGCAGGACCCCTTCTCATCCTGGACTAATCTGATCATCAGAGACCCCATTGTGGGTGAACCCAGGGCTCCTCCCTACCCTCAGCTCCCTGAAAATCTGCCCCATCCACCCTTCACTCCCCTCAGACTCCTCAGATGCCCTCCACTGCCCACAGCAGGGGCAGGGTGACATTCAGACAGCAGGAGCACCCTTGAGAGCCACATTGTTCATCTCCTGAGCACGGCTCCTGCCTCGGCCTTTCATTCTTCCTAGTAGCTCTGACCTGAGTGCTTCTGGACAGGTGATGGGGTCACATGGGCTCAAATCCTAAATGCAGAGCAAAGACTGTTGCCCACTCCCCCTCCCTCCACCAAGTTGACTCATGTCCCTCCAGGCTGCTCTAAGCCTTGGTGTGTCCACCTGAAGGAGCTCAGAGGTCATTTGACATCAGTAGGACCAACTGTCCTCACCCTTCTCCAGACTGTGTGGTGTCCATGGAGCAGATGGATCCTGATTCTGTGGCCATCTTCTCCTCATGGGGAGTCAGGGCCTTAATTGTGCGCTCCCACAGACGCGCTGCAGTGAATAATCTTGTATCTAATTTCACATAGAATATCTAAGCCAGTGAGATTGTTCTCTAAAGGCAAAATACAACAGTGTCATATGTTCTTTCTAATTTTGGGTGAGGTGGTAAAGCTGTTCTCCTGAAGAGTCCACAAGTTGATATTCACAGCAGTGAGAGCTGACAGTGTGTGTTTCCCGCACCTCGTCTCTGTCAGTTCCTCTCACCATTCTCTTTCTGTGTCCTCCTTTTTCTCCATCTCTCTGTCTCTGTGACCCTCTGTCTTATTCTTGACAGCAGCCATAGCCCTGAAGAATGGCTCATCTCTCTCAGTTCTGGAGGACCAGTCTCTGTGCCTGGTCTGTGCCGTCAACAGCAACCCTCTAGCCAGGCTGAGCTGGACATGGGGGAGCCTGACCCTGAGCCCCTCACAGCCCTCGAACCCTGGGGTGCTGGATCTGCCTCAAGTTCACCTCAGGGATGAAGGAGCATTCACCTGCCGAGCTCAGAATCATCTGGGATCCCAGCATGTCTCCCTGAGCATCTCCCTGCAGAGTGAGTGCAGAGGTGTCAAGGGAGGGGCTGGGGGAAGAACACACCTGCCACCCTCACCATCCACCCAGCAACCCTGGGCTACAGAGGGGAGCTCAGGTCCGGTTTGTGCTCAGCTGTGAGGCCTGGATTTTCCCTGGCCCCAGAATGTTCTTGTCTTCATCCTGTTGGGTAAGGGGTGTGGGGTAAGTGAGGGGGGGTGGGGAGCCTTGAGGGGAAGGGCTGGGGCTTGGACAGGTGTGTTAGGAGACAGGGACCTTGCATGGTAGTTTAGAACCCAGGTGAGAGACATGAGGCTCTCGCCTGGGCATCACTAGAAGTCCAGGGCCCCCCAGAGAGCAGAAAGGGAAGAGATCAGTTCTGGGGGTGAGTACCCCCAACAGGTCACATCCTTCCACAGGAGGAGCATGGTCAGGAGTGATGCTAGGGACATTCTGGGGTGCTGGAGCCACCACCTTAGTCTTCCTGTCCTTCTGCATCATCTTTGTTGCGTGAGCATCGACCTTGGGGATGTTGGAGGGTCCTGGGGAAGGATGGGGCCAGGAGTGGGTCCTTGGAGCCAGAGCTGGAGGGACCCAGATGGGCCAAGAGCTTGAAGCAAGGGCAGGAAGGAGGTCATGGGGGCATTGAGAATATCATGGGTACCCTTGCTTGTGAACCTCAGGTCCCAAGTCCAGGAGTGGGAGCCTGTGTTCTCAACACTGGGGTCTGCAGGACAGGATCACTCCCCCCCACCTTGGTCACCCCTCCAGTCCCTTAATTGTTAACAAAGGTGAGGGTCAACCTGAAGCAGGCAAACCCCAGAATTGGAGTTCAGCTGAGAGGCTGAGTGGTTTCTTGACTTCGTACAGGAAAGAATTCAAGTACGAGCCATAAGCAGGAGGAAAGTAAGTTTATTAAAAAACACAAATGAGAAAAAGGCCATCCCATAGGCAGAGCAGGCCGCCTGGACACAGGATGTTTGTATTTACGGCTCTTTATTATATTTTATGGATTATTCATGTTTTTTTCCGGTAAAGGAGCGGGGATTCTCAGAATGGAAGGTTTCACCCACTTTTAAACCACACTGGGTGACTTCTAGGAGTTGCCATGGTCGTTGTAAACTGTCATGGCGTTGGTGGGCATGTCCTCTAGCACGTCAATGTATTATAATTAGTGGATAACGAGTAAAAAGGATAAACAGAGGCTGCATTGGACCCATGTTGCTCTCAGTGGGCTTTGGCCTGTCTCCTCACCGCAACTTATCTTGACAGTGAGATCAGGACTTGTGATCTTCATTTTGGAAATTAGCCATGCCGATCTCTACCTCACACTCCCTGCAGCCCTATCTGCCCAGATGGAAAGGATCTCTGTGCTCCAATAAAACTTTATTTACATAATCAGGTGGTGGGTGGGATTAGACACAAGGGCTGTAGTTTACCAATCCCTGACCTGCAGATAAGGTCCAGACTCCTCAACCTGCAGCCCTGCACATTCTGGCCTCCTAAACACCTGCCTCTCTGGTAGGGCAGGAGTTAGGGTGAGGTGAGTGAGATTCTTCCTCCAATGCAAAATTTAAAGGAGTGCCATTGAGACAAAGTTTTTGAAAATATCAAAAGTAGTTTTAAAAACACAATGATAAGCAAAATGTCAAGGCTCTCTTGTCTCTTCACTCAGAATGAGGTCCTGCAGGAGGAAGTCATCAAGGCCAGCAGCTGGTGAGGGCTATGCAGGCATGGAGGATGCAGATGCTGTCAGGGGCTCAGCCTCTCAGGTGAGTGATGTAGGCATCTCCACATCCGACCTCCAACCTGGACACCTCCCACAGGATGGCCCCCAGAATTGCTCAATTTGTTTTAGCCAAAGTGTCTCCCCTCCTCCTCCCCATAAGCTGGCATCTCTGCAGAATTTCCCATTTTGCTTTGGACAAAAAGACGCCAAACTCTGTAAAATGTTTTAAGATTTCTTATTCTGGGTAATATGAGCTACCTTAGGTCCGGGAACACCCATCCTCGGGAGGTTCTAAGAACGTGTGTCCAGAGTGGTTGAATTGCAGTTTGGTTATATACATTTTAAGGAGGCAGATTTCACAAAAACCATAAATCAATACATATGAGGTTTTCATTGGTTCTGTATGGGAATGAGAAATTTCCAAGTGGGGGATTGTAGGTTACAGGCAGAATTAAGGATTTTTTAATTCAAAATGTGTAATCCCTATCTAAAGAATTTTGGAAATCAATAGAGGACAAAGTGCCTCATGTCTGGAAGTCCCCAGAGTTGACTTTGTGGGATCATAAAATATTTTTATTTTCTTCTTTAGCTGTTGTATAATGTCATGCCAGAGTTGGGTTGGAAAGTAAATTTTAGCATACAGGGCACTAGGGTAATAAATGGTGTCTGCTGAGTCCTTGTCAGGGGAGACTGTCCAAGCCTCTTCATTAGGAATTTGGATGAGAGAAATGTGATCAGAATTTAATCCTCATTGCTGACAGCTGGACAACACCCTCCCCCAGAGAAGTCGCTTCCTCTCTGGCCTCTCTTTTTGTTTACTGCCCCAAATCCCCCATGTCTTACTCGCTTCCCCCTTGAGAACAATTGACATTGGTTCCCCCCCTTGCATCCCGATCACTTTCATTGCTGCGGTCACAGGATCTCCATCATAGACCCACTCACCTCCCTGCCTCTCACCTCCCCTTCCCCACCTGGAAGGACCTCCCAGAAGCCATCACTGTCCAGTTCCTCTGCATTTAAACCACTGTTCCCCTCTCCAAAACTGTCCAGAACAGAGGCCAGAAACCTTTATCTTTAAAGGCCTGAGAGTACATATTTTTTACTTTCTGAACTGTACAGTCTCTGCTGCAGCTACTTAACTCTCTTCTGTTGTAGCAGGAAGGCAGCCCTAGACCCTGTGGAAGTGATGAGTTCAACTGTGTTCCAATAAACTTTATTCACAAAATCAGGCAATGGGTGAGATTTGACCCCAGGACTGTAGTTTACTAACCCTTGACCTAGACACTTAAGACCCAGAGTCCTCAGCCTGTGGCCCTGTACATTCTGGCCTCCTAAACACCTCCCTCTCCAGTTGGAAAGGAATTAGGGTGAGGTGAGTGAGGCTCCTACCTCAAGTGCAAAATTTAAGAAGGTGCCAAAAATCTCAGTGATCAAGACAAAAATGTTTTTATGCACCATCTTTAAAAACATCAAAATTAATTTTAAAAAACATATTGATGAGAAAAATATCAAAATTTTAAATAAATAAGATCCATAAACTGAAGTCAGTTAAAAATTATTAAAGATCATCAACTAAGTCAAGAGAAATTTTCAAGCAGGGCCACATAGTTGAAAATGAGGGAAGAGACGAGGCTCCGTGACTCAGCCTGTAATCCCAGCACTTTGGGAGGCCGAGGTGAGTGGATTGCCTGAGCCTGTGGGTTCAAGACCAGCCCAGGCAACTTGGCACGACCTCATCTCTACAATAAACAAAAAAAAAAATTAGTTGGGCATGGTAGCACACCCCTGTAGTTCTGGCTATTTAGAAGACTCAGGTGGAAGGATCGCCGGAGCCCAGTAGGTTGACACTGGGATGGCCATGAGCATGCCACTACACTCCAGCCTTGGTGACAGAGTGAGATTCCAACTCAAAAAAAAAAAGAAAAGAAAATGTGGGAAGAAAGAAGGCGATTTTGAAAATGTTATCTCTGCTTTGCTTGCAGTAGAGCATGGAAAGCAAAGTTTAATAAATTCTGGGTTTGGGTATACATAAAATCTTTAAACTTAAAATGATGTTTTAATACACATGATTTTTAATTTTCCAAGAGTATTTATTTTATTTTATTTTATTTTTTTAAGGATGTGGTGTACAATTCAGGATTAGATACACAAATGGTCATGCTGAGCCAATTTCAACCTGAGGCAAATTAAAAAATGTATGTCACTATTTATATGTTTTCTTCTTGAGTTGGAGTCTCACTCTGTCACTCAGACTGGAGTGCAGTGGCCGCTCCCGGCCATTGCAGCCTTGACCTGCTGGGCTCCGGCGATCCTTCCACCTCAGCCTTCCAAGTAGCTGGAGCTACAGGTGAGCACTACCACGCCCGGCTAATTTTTGATTTATTGTAGAGATGAGGTCTTGCCAAGTTGCCCAGGCGGGTCTCGAACCGCGGGCTCAGGCAATTCACTCACCTCAGCCTCCCGAAGCGCGGGATTACAGACTGAGCCACCGAGCCCAGTTTATACGTTTTCATGGATTTTAATCATCAGGCTTTTTCACACAGCATTCAATAATTGAAATACAAATTTGGTTAATCCTGTGCAAAAAATCCCAATGACTGTAATTGGCTTAGCAGAACATAGCTTCTGAGTTTTTTATTATTTTTTTCACTAGGGACTTTTTACATTAACTTGATTTTTTAAATGTTGCATTAAAAAAAAAACCATTATTTTTTCACTCTTTAATTTTGAGCTCTGGGTGAGGTCCTCATATGCCTCACTCTGATCCCAACCCTGCCTCCCAATGCTTCCTGCCTCCACTCTGTGCCCCGTCCATGTTGGGCTCTCCACTGTCATAACCAGAACAAGGTGATTGTGCCTCAGTCTGCATGAGCTGTCCTTCCCTCCTTAAATGCTCCTCCCTCCACACTTCTGATCTTCATTTTTGTTTATCTTTCATGCTCCAATATAAATGCCACACTCATCATTTATCAACTGTATTCGGTGTATGTCCAGAAGCCTGTGGAAGGTTTTGAACAGCAGAGTTACATCCATTCTTCCATTCACTAATTCATTCTGGAATTCATTCATTATTAAGCACCTCCCAAGAGATGAGAACTGTAGGTGCAAGAGACCCATCTATGGAAAATACGAAAAATCTAGAGCTCAATGAAGTTTTATTCTAGATGGAGAGATATATTCAAACCAATCTACCAAGCAACCAACAACAAACAAGCAAACACATGAAACACAGAGCATGTAAAAGATAGACACACACTTCAGGGAAAATCTAGGATACTGCGAATAGAATGTGCTCAGAACATGGCTTGTTTTTGTTTTGTTTTTGTTTTTGTTTTTTTTGGTTGGAATCTTACCATGGGCCAGGCTGAAGGGCAATGGCATGATCATGGTTTACCACAGTCTCGACTTCCTGGGCTCAGGCAATCCTTCCACCTCAGTCTCCCAACTAGCTGGAACTACAGGCACATGCCACCACGCCTGGCTAATTTTTATCTTTTTTTGGTAAAGACAAAAAAAAAAAGATGCCCAGGCTGCTCTCAAACTTCTGGGTTCAAGTAATCCTCTCACCTCGGCCTCCCACACTGCTGGGATTACAGGCATGAGCCACTGCGCCCAGCCTAGGACATGGCTTTGGGGCTTATTTTTATTTTTCTAGCCATCTATCCATTTGTCTATCATAGAAAAAACCACATAACACAAAATTTGCCATCTTATCCTTTTAAGTGTTCAGTTGTGCAACACATCTCTAGAACTGTCTAATACTGCAAAACTGAAAGTCTATATCCAATGAACAACCATTCTCCACTTCCCCCTCACCCCACCCCCACCCCGGCAACCACCATTCTACTTTCTTTTCTGTTAACCCTATGTTGTGATACTTCATATAAGTGGAATCATTCCATATTTGTCATCTTGTGACTGGTATTTTCACTTAACATAACATCCTCAAAGTTCATCCATGTTGTAGGATGTGACAGGACTTCCTTTTTAAAGGCAAATAATATTCCATTGTGTGCATATCCACCACATTTTATTTATCCAGCTATCTGCTGATGGACATTTCTGTTGTTTCTGCCTCCTGGCTCTTGTGATAATTCTGCAGTGAACATTGCTGTACAAATATTGTTTTGAGATTCTGCTTGAAAATTCTTTCGGATATACCCATAAGTAGAATTGCTGGATCCTATGATATTTCTATTTATTAATTTCCATGCTGTTTTCCATGGGACTTACACCATTTTAAATTCTTACCAACCATGTGTAAGGGTCCTCATTTCTTCACATCCTTGGTAAAACTTGTTCATTTTGGGTTTGGGTGTTCTTTGTTTCTGATAGTGGCCATTCTAATGGGTGTAAGGTGATAGCTCGTTGTAGTTTTGATTTGTGTTTCTCTAATAATTAGTGATCTGAGCATCTATTCATATGCCTGCTGTCCATTTGTATGTCTTATTTGGAGAAAGACTGTTAGAGTCTTAGGCTGTTTTTTAATTGCATTGTTTCATAAATTTGAGTTGTAAGAGCTCTTTATATATTCTGGATGTTAACCCCCTATTAGAAACATGTCTTGCAACTGTTCTCTTCTATTTGGTAGGTTGACTTGTGGTCTCTATTAGTGATGTTTGAGCAAATCATGAAGGAGGCTTGGAGCTTGACACTGGAATGTGGGGTGGAAGAGCCTTCCAGGTAGAGGGAAGAGCAGGGGCAATACTCAAACACAGGAGGCTTACCAGTGAGAGGGAGAGAAATGGGGAAGCCTGTGCAATTATACAGGGGAAGGCATGGTCATGAGCAGGAAGTGAGTTTGGAGAACTTGAGCCTTTGTGTAAATCATGTCTGACCGCACAGGCCACTGTGAGTGTTTGGAGTTTTGAGCAGAATATGATCCAACTTTCACTTTCCCCAGATCCCTCTGGCTGCTGTCTTCAGAAGAAACCGTGTGTGGCAGAGAAGGGCAGAAGCAGAGGAGTTAGAGAGACGGCTGGTGAACATCCAGGGAGAAGGTGATGCTGGCTAGAACCAGGAGGCAGGGGTGGTGGGTGTGACTGGCTTCTAGGGAAATTCTAAAGTCAGGACAATGGGGATTGTTAATGCATTGGGAGTGGGTGTGGGTGGAGAGAGGGGGCCAGGGATGACTCCCAGATTTTCCCTAAGCAGTTGGAGGAATGGAGATGGCAATCCCTGAGGCTAAGAAGACTTTAAGAGGAAGACATTTGAGGAAGAAAAGAAGAAGTTCAGTTGAATAGGTTGAGCTTGTTGCACCTTTGGACAAGAGGGAGGCGAACACTGTTGAATCAGTCTATAGTCAGGAGAGGGGAATGGGCTGGGGTGTGGATCTGTGAGTCCTCAACCTATTGGTGACATGAGGCCAACACAGTGAATGAGACCACCAAGTGAAGATGCTGAAGGACAGTGTGATGCATGTGCTGAGTAGAAAGGGGCTTCCGTGTAGGGAGGTGGGTAGCTGTGGACTCTGCTACAAAGTCCAGGTGGGGAAGCCTAAAAGATGGTCTCTTGGATTCAGCCACTGGAGACCCCTAGCAACCTTGACAATGGTAGTGCTGTGGGGTGGGGTGTGGGAGGCTACATTAGAATAATTAAGAGGAAATAGGAGAAGCCAGATCACAGACAGTTCTGTGGAGGTGTCTGCTGTTCGGAAAGCATCAAGAAGGGGCTGAGACTGAGGAGGGTTCTCCCAGGCCACCTCCATCACTCTCGCAAGTGTGAGTCTGTATCAGTTTCCTATTGCTGCTGAGACAAATAACCCCACATCCAGTGGCTTCAGGCAATCTCAATGCATTGTCTAAGAGTTCAGGTAGGCACAAGACTGACATGGGTTTCGCTGGGCTAAAACCAAGGTGCTGACAGGCAGGTCTGGTTCCTTCCAGAGGCTCCAGGAAAGGACACACTTTCTTGTCTTTTCTGGCTCCTGGAGAATCCTGCCTGCCTTGACTCAGGCCTGTCCTCTATCTGCAAGGGAGCAGCTTTGCACCTCCCAACCTCTCCCTGCACTCCCCCTTTCACTTGTAAAGACTCTGTGATTACTTTGGACCCACCCTAACAGTCCAGGATAATCTCCCCAGCCTAATTTTCTTAACTCAGTTCCATCTGTGAAGCCCCTTTTGCCATATTCACAGGCAACCTGTAACATATTCACAGGTTGCAGGGGATTAGAGTGTGGACATTTCAGGCGACATCATGTTTCCTATCAAGGGACAACATTTTTGACTGGCTTGTTCCAACTGCCCCCACCCCCAACTTAAGGACGAGCTTCCCAAGGGCAGGTACTATGTCTGAATCAAGGCCCTATAATTCTACTTACCCTCTTCTCCTCATCTCACCATAATTCACAATTGGATATTTATTTGTTTGTCACTCATTTATTGCTGCCTTTACAAGTTAAAGAGGGAGCTTCAGGAGACCAGGGCCCATATCTACCGTGTCCACCACAATACACCCACGCCCAGCTCAGGGCCTCACACACAAGGCCTCAGCGGGGACACCAGGCTCCGGGGTCAGGAAGTAATGACTGGATTAGGTCTTGGCTTAACAAGGAGTTTCGACATGCTGCTTACTGTTTTAACGGTTTCAACCTCAGTTTCATATGTATATAAGATGCAGACAGTAATAATATCTTCCTGATGGTGTTGTTGTGGAAAGTTAATTGATTTGGTAAACAACAAATAAGGTGCTCATTAAGTATTAAATATTTGAAGGAAGCATGTATGAAGGAGAGTCCAACAAAATGTGCGTGGAATGAATGGAGGAAGGAACTCAGGGGCTTCCTGGCCTCTCTTTGGCTTCCCCTACCCCACTGTTCTGCTCTGATACCCATCTCTTCCTCTCCATTCAGGGGCCCCTGACTGAATCCCAGGCAGATAGCAGCCCCCCAGACCAGTTACCTCCAGCTGTGGCCGTCTCCTTCTCCAGAAAGGACCAAGAGGTTCAGTGTGCATCCCTCAGGTTCCATACGATGAAGCCTCAGGTCCCACAGGGCCAGAAGGCCACCGGCAGCGAGTACTCAGAGACCTCAAACATCAAGACCTGCAAGTGAAAAACTACAGAGACTCAGTTCTGGTTGAGGGATCACAACCCCTTGGGGATTATGGTGAAGCCAGAGGCTAATTCCTGTAGCATTAAATCCCTCGAGAGCACCGTGTTGAACCCCAGGACATTAGGGCTTACTCTTCCTCTCTAACTGAAGCTTTGTATCCCAACCTCTCCTCTTTTTCTGTCCACCCCATCCACATCCCCACCCCAGCCTCTGGCACCCACCATTCTACTCTCTACCTCTATGAGGTTGAATTTTTCAGATTCCACATAAAAGTGGGATCATGCTGTGTTTTTCTCTCTGGGCCTGGCTTATTTCACTTATCATAATGTCCTTTAGGCTCATCCATGTTCCCTCAAATGACAAAACAACATATTGTACATTTCACAGTAATTAGAGGATTTTAAATGTTTTCACCCAAAAGAAATGATAAATATTTTAGATTATGGATATGCTAACCATTTGGATGTAATCATTTCATTATATATATATATATATATATAAGGATCTGATATATATATACATATATATACATACATACATACATATATATACATACATATACATATATATACATACATATATATACATACATACAGTTTTATATATATATATATATAAAACTGTCTCATGGCCATTCTGTTCTCTTATCCAGCCATCAAGTAAAGCAACCACTGTTGGGACACCCCTTAATCATAAGTTTGTGGCTTCTCTGATGATTCCACAGGGTCCAGGGAAGGAAATGGAGAAGTTGGAAATGCAGGAGTTGAGCAGGTAGGAGGCCTTTGGAATCAGAGTCCAAAGCTCTGAGCATGATCCACTCCCACCTGCATCCCATTGGCCAGCTCTGATTGGCAGATGGAGCAGTCAATAGCCAAGCTTCCCATGATGTCATCCCCAGGTCATAGGTGGGGTCTCCAGACTTCTTCCAAGAGCCTCCATCTGCCTTCCTCTGTGTGACTGAGCTGGTTCTCCCTCTTGATTCTTCCCTCAGAGAGATCTTTTCCAGCCCAGCTGGTTTTTACTGGGACTCTCAGCCCTTCTCCATCACTCTGCCCTCACCTCCTTGCCCAGCTGGTCTTGTCCTCCAGTTCTGAGGTGGACACTTATGTAGCCCGGTTTGTCCTGTGGAAAGAAATCAGGGAAGAAGTCATATCTCAGATCCATAAGGAATGCAGGAGAGTTCTGGGTTGAGAGAAATGAAGGGGCCCAACTTCTCATCAAGCCCAAGGGGGACCTCAGGATGGGGAAGAGATAGATCTGGAGGCTTAAACTCTACACCAAGAGTCTTAAACATTCTCTATGCTTTTTAAGATTTCTTAGGTCTTAAGGTCACTGGAGGAAGATGCCATTCTGTAGGGGATGGGAGGGAAAAGAGGCTGGGTGAACCTGAGGAAAGAGTTGGCACTACTGGCCTAACTGCCAGGGATGATAATAATAATTTATTTCAGACCTATTATGTGCCAGGTACTGTAGTAGACAGCAATTATTTGTAACCCTTCTGACAGTCAAGCAAGATACATATTTAAAACCCATTTGCAGTTGAAAACATGAGGCTTTCCAGAGGTGAGGTTACTTGCCCAAAGTCACACAACTAGAATATAGCAGAGGCCACTGTTTTCAACCTGGCTTCTCTGACTCCCAGACCCCTGCTTTCTTACCAGACTGGAGGACATGGACCATGGAGAATGTGGCACTTTTTAGGGGAATAGGCCTGTGGTGTTGGATTTGTTTTGGGCTGTGAAGAGGTGGTTCTCCCAGGCTAGTGCAATTCTTTCAGGATGTGGAAGAAGTGGTAACTCAGATACGCTCTTGGAAACACTTTTGAACTCTCTGGAGTTTATCACAATCCATGTGCAACTGTACCTTGAATAATACAATAGTACCAATAATAATTACTAAGATTTTATTGAGGACTTACTGTGTACCAATCCTTGCTCCAAACTCTTTATCAGTAAGCACTTACTTTAACCCCATAGAAGATATTTTGTGAAGCTGGTACCTGTATTGCTCCCATTTTAAAGATGTCACGTAGAACACAGGTTAACCTTCTTATTATCTCACTGTATGGTCCATACCACAGGCTGCTGGGCTATGGGACCATGTAAAGATCATACATAGGTACAATATCAAAATACAAAGACAATTTTTAAAATGTATCTCCCAAAAGTTTAAAATAACATTAGTTTATGGCTGCATAATATTTGCAGCAACTTGGATGGATTTGGAGTCGATCATACTCAGTGATTTATCACAGAAACAAAGAACAGAGTTTCATATGTTCTCACTCATAAACGGACCTTGAACAATTATAATGCTATAAGAAAGTGATTGGCAGTGGCGGGAAACTGTCAGGGGAGGGGGGATGGGATTGGCAGTTGAGGGAAACTGCTAGGGGAGGGAGGGCCATACCTCATCAACAAGGGTATCTGCATGATAAATGTTTGTATACCTAACCCTGAAGTGTACCCCACATCTTAATAATAAAAATTTTAAAATCATTCGTTTAAAAAAATAAACATAGCCTGTCTCCTCATCTGCCTCTTGCCCATCTGTTTACTCTAGACTATGTCACTCATATGTCTTTTGGGGTATCTGGCCCCAATCATGGTTAAAATTTGAGTCACTCCAGGACAGTGTTTGGGGAGTTGGGGAGAAGAGGAGGATTGTCAAAGAAAAGGGGCTGGATCTTGGTAGCTAGAACATTCCTGAGGGCAGGGAGAGCAGCTTGTTCATCTTTTATTTTTATTTTGAAGATGTGGTGTACAATTCAGGGTTAGGTACATAAGTGGTCATCGTACAGGTAAAGTTTGAGCCTCCTTCAACACAGTTTTCAAATAAAATTTTTAATATGTTTATAGAGGAAGGAACACCTAAAAGTAAAATGCATCCCTGAAGGGAAGTCTGATATATAAGACAAAAATGGCTCTGCTCTGAAAGGAACAAGGGGGAGCCTACATCTCTGACCACATGAGTTTCCCCCCTGCCTTAAACTCTGCCACCTACTGAGACCCCTCTGAGATTTCCTGGTACAGGGTCCAGGAGGGGCCTTCCCTGAGGCAAACGCTCTGAGACCTTGTGTCTTGAGACCTTCCTCAATGACTTGCCAACAACTCTCCAACTCTTTCCTCGCTGATCTCCCAGTCTCCTGTGTCCACCCTTGCCCTGTTCCTCCCCCTGTGTCTTGGCCACTCTCTCAGTCTCCTTTCAGTGTCATTTTTCCGCTGTGCCCCGAATAGGAGAATCCTATCTCTACCCTGGGCCCTCCTCTCTTCCCGTGCAACGTGCTTTCTCAGGAGGTGGGGCGGAGGAATCACAGGTGGTTGTTTCTTTCTACTTTTTCTATTTCCTTTTTTTTTTACACTTTAAGCACATTTTATATAGTTAACTTGCAGTGCTGATGTCCCATAGAAATATTTGCAATGATCCAATTTTGTAGACGCTAGTCACATGTGGCCTTCAAGCATCAGAACCTGCCTTAGACTCTCTGATGTCCCAAACCTGAGTCCTTCCCGGGTCTTGCTAAAGACAAACATTTGAGTCCTGCCTTGGTATCTCTGAATTTCCAACCCTCCTTTCCTGTTTTGGTCTCCTTGAAGTCCCAATGCTCAAGTCCTGCCTTGGTCTCTCTGAAATCCTAAATCTCAGATCATGCCTTGTGGCTTAAAGTGTGACTCGTGTGACCGAGGAATTAAATTTTTTACTTATTTCATTTTAAATCATTTAAAATGTAAATAGCCACATGAGGCTATTGGCTACCAAATTAAATAATTTAAGTTCTAGACCTTCCCCTTAAGGTTCAAATTAAATTTAATATTAAAGAAAACTAGGACAAAAATCTTGTTCGGTGCTCAATCTTTCAGTTAGACAAACTTTATTTTTAATTGTCATATTGTTCTTTTTTATCATTGAGACAGGGTCTTGTTATGTTGCCAGACTGGTCTCAAACTCTGGGGCTCAAGCAATCCTTCTGCCTCAGCCTCCTGAGTAGCTGAGACTAAGGACACATGCCACCATGCCTGGCTAAATGTTCAATGTAATTTTGATCTCAAAGTTTACATTTCAATTGGCTTTTCATTTAATTTAAAATTTCAGGTTAAATTTAGTTCAATATAGAAAAAATTTGATCTGCTGGACACTTGGATATCTGTGAGAGTCCTTGGAGAGTGAGCTGTCACTGGGTATGCTGATCTGAGGGAAGTTGTCACTGGGTATGCTGATCTGGTCCTAAGTGCCAAGGGCTCTCTTCAAGAAAAGGGGATCAAAGCAGATCTATCTGCTACCCCTACCCCAGTCTTAATAGGAAGGAAACAGGAGTTCCTGTCTCTGGAACTCTCCCTCACTCCTTCACAACTAAGATGTGTCTCTAAGCCTCACATCATCCTGCAGGGCAGATATTCCTCTTTGCATCCTCCAGGTGGGGCTGGGGAAGAATTGCGAGGAGAAGCAATCTGCCCAAAGTCACCCAGCCAGCTGGTGGCAGAGATGGGATTTGAACCCAGACCTTAATCATTCTGCCAGCCTACCACCTTTCCCTACATAGTTGACCCTGGTGCCCAGCTTCACTTGGTACCAGGTACTTGACATGGACTTCCCTCGTTTTCTCACCTGTCCCTCTAGGTAAAATTCAATATCCCTTTTTAAGCACAAAGAAAGTTGGAAGAGAAGGGAAATTGCAGAATGAAATCCCACAGCTGTCTAGAGGCTCATCTGACTCTAAACTCCTTCTCTCTCCCACCAGCTCTGGTCATGGGGACCTGTCTGTGTCCTCCAGATGATCCCTGGCAGCCCAGTTCCTGACTTGCCCATCATCCTTTGCTTCTACCTCCCCTCTGGCGGAAGCGCTCATTCTCAAGTCCGAGCCCACAGCCAATACCCCACTCTTGACCCAGAATGACGATGGGCACCTGATTGAGTAACGAATGATCAGATCATAGACCAGGACTCCACATAGGTACGTGCTGCACAGGACTGCCACCATGATGAGGAATATCACCAAGGGT